AATGATTCATTTAGTTGAAAATGATGTAAATTCGAATACATAAATTTAGAAAAAGTAGCATATAGCAGTCTCATAAGTTCAAGCTATACATATACCAAATTTCATCACAATCGGTTCAGCGGTTTAGGCGTGAAGAGAAGACAAACAAACAAACACAGTGTCCCATTTATAATATATATATAATATATAATATAATATAATTATAATAATATAAAAAATATATATAATATATATATTATATAGTATAGTAGGGATGTATAAAATAAAATTGTGTCTTGTGCAATAATGTTTATTTTATTCCAGATAGTTTTAGGGTTCCGTGCCTCAAAAGGAAAAAACGGAACCCTTATAGGATCACTGTTGTCCGCCCGTCCGTCTGTCAAGACCGTTTTTCTCAGGAACGCGTGGAGATATCAAACTGTAATTCATATAACTAATATTCAGGTCTACTGTCCCTTGGAGCTGTAAAAAAATTTCTAAGCGAAAGCAATCAAAAGATGCAGCCGTTTATGCCGCAAATTTTCGAAACTCGCACGGAATCAAAACCTGCAGGGTACTTCCCGTTAACTTAGAATCTTGAAATTCGGTACAAAGTAACGTCTTATATTACAGATAAAGGAAAAATTACGAACACCGCAAATTTTTATTTACATCATATAATAAAAAATAATTTTGAAAATTCAGGTCACCTTCGGTGCACGAGTTCGACTCGCTCTTGGCCGGTTTTTTTTATTAGTGTAGTGAGTGACCCCCTCCAAAATTTCAGGCTGCGACCGCGCCTGACTAAAGCCACAAAGACCAAGCTTGTGAGGACACTTATATTCCCCATATTTCTTTACGCGGCTGAGACGTGGACTTTGCGAGATGTGGAAAGACAGAAAGTGGACGCTTTGGAAATGTGGTGCTGGAGAAGGATGCTTGGGGTTTCGTGGACCGAGTTTCGCACGAACGTCTCGATACTTCAAGAACTCGGTATCAGGCAGCGTCTATTTTCGACAGTACAATCTCGCATCCTAACACTCTTCGGACACGTTTCTCGGCGTAACAACTTATCCATAGAACGCCTTGTCGTCCAAGAAAAGGTGGAAGGTCACCCACGCGATGGACTGACCAGATCAAGTCAGCCGTTGGAGGTTCACTAAACGAGTGCAGCAGGATGACCTCTAGCAGGCAGCAATGGCGAAACATAGTAAAGCGCATCACATCTGCCACCTCCAATAATACTACAAGTTCATAGCGATCATGACCGCCCTGTCAAGAGCGTACCGGCTAAGAAGAATAGCGCTTTATTCTATACCTACCTATGAGGGTATAAAAGACAAATTCTTTAAGTGAAATTAACATTAAAATTGAAAAATAATTATTTGGTTCATTGATTTCACGGGTAATAGATTCTCAATGACTTCTTGGCTAGTTTCTTTCAATTCTGGTAGTGTTAATTAAAGTTCACTATCAATAATATACACCGTCTCGAGTAGACATAATAACAATTTGAACTCATAAAAAATAAGTCAATCCGCGCGCTATTACCTGTTTTTTTATTCTTTTTTCCAATATTAATGTTCAAAAATAAAAACTGAAAAGAAAAAAACAAGTCCAGTAGTCTATAATTCTGTTAATAAGGAATAAAGCTACTTTAACAGTCGGGACCCATTAGATATTCAAGAATACATAATATTTTTCAACAGTGGGTCCCGACTGTTAAAGTAGTTTTGTTCCTTATTAACAGAATTATAGACTACTGGACTTGTTTTTTTCTTTTCAGTTTTTATTTGAAGAATAATGAAGCAGTCGGGTTTTTTGATTTTTTAAATTTACCTTTTTTTATTTCACACTTTTTAGTTATTATTTTAAGACGGTATATACCATAGTCTTGTTACTTCAGTAAGGGAATTAATATCGCGGGAATTATTAAGTACCTTGCGTCGGTCTAAAAGATTGATTTATTAAGACATATAAAGACTTTACCAGCGGGGTCAAGGCTACAGATGTGCCTCAATTTTCGCAAAAATGTGTGAAGTTAAATCAAGTCGTTACATAAATATCTCTAATGTATGTAAATTTTATAGTAAACTAGCACTTACTCAAAAAGTCATCTTTTGTTTATGTTTTTTTTAATAGTTTAGCAGTAAATATAAAATTCATTTACTTTTATTCGTCGACTATTTAAAATTGGCAGTGGCTGCATTGTCATGTCAATGCCGGACGTCTAAGATTGTGATATACACAAATGCAGTGTCAGTCCCTAGTGTCATAATTTGATATACCTACATAATTCACAGAAACCCAATATGTAGATGCCAGAAGTTAACTTCAAATGTTTTTAATCACCCTATATACAATACCAATCAATGACGTTTATGTCGCAGGTTGAAGAAAGAAGTAATTCCCGTCTGTTGTTTTGGACAATGGTGGCAACTGCCTTAGATCACTAAATTAAATAATTATGCAATCACCAAAGCAAAGTTTATAATATTTGATTAAACTAAAGGCGCATAATAAAATTTTCATAACGTTAGGTAGAGCACCATAGCAATCTCATTTATTATCAATTTATAGTTCTCTTTGTAGTTTTCTTTTAAAGCGTTCACATTTAACAGGTTAAAGACTTTGTGTTCGACCCTTTTTTATTGGTAGTGTAAAGCTCGAATGAGGAGTACTTCCACCTTTCAAGTGTGCTGCTACCAGCCTTGTAGGTATTGCAAATAGTGCAACCATGGCAATTATTTTCCAAATATATTTTTTGTATAAAAAAATACCGAATAACGTATCACTGTTAAGCACAAATGCTAAGTAACTTTTACAAATATAATCAAATAAACCTATTACTTACTTTATTTTTAAATCTTTTTCATCAATTAAATACTTATCTTATCCTAACTATCTATACTAATATTTTAAAGAGGCAAGATTTGTATGTTTTGTAACAAATAATCTGTCAAACAACTGAACCGGTTTCAAATAATAATATATGTAATTATCATATATGAGCTATATTACTGTTAAGTTTCATTAAAATCCATTCAGTATTTTTTAGGTGAAAGAGTAACAAAGATCCATACAAACGTAAGATTGAAATTAAAAGCGTAAGTGGTTAATATACAACTTTAAAGCGTTGTAGATCCTAAACAATCATATAAAATGAAAAATGGTGTTAGGAACCTAAATATGATTTTTGATTATCTAGACAGTGATACTCGACATATTTTGTCAACTTTTTTTTTACTTCGTCGCAATATGGCGCCTAATTTTGCCCATATTGAATTTTGATTACTATCATATCTTTAGTAGCACTCCCATGAATCGATTGATGTATGAATCATCAAAATCGGTCCAGGCGTTTGGTCTCTAGTGTGCCACAAAGGAACAAACATACATATATAGACTGTTAAACACATAACCCTGTCTGCGCGTCGCGCTTCGCGCTCTTGCATTGCGCAGCCGGGTAAAAAGTATAATAATGATAAAAGTTAAACGCAAAGCCTGTAAATGCTAGTAGCAATTACAAAGTATATAGAACATTATAAAAAAAAAGAATAAATAGCACGTTAAAAATGAATTTTCATAAGATTTTTTCTGCCTGCTCAGAGCATTAAAATGGATTTCCATCAATGCGAAGAGATGGCGCTGCAGCTTAAGAAAGTCTAGAGAAAATTCGACACGGCCGTTAGGGCCGCGGTAGCATAATAGTCAGTGCATTCGTCCGGCTAGCGAATGCTGCTGGTTCGAGTCCCGTCTGCTGCCTTGTCCGCATAGAATTATTTCTAGTAATTTTTTTCCTTATATTAAGTCTTGATGTAACTTCACATTTTTTTGCGAAAATTGAGGCGGTTTTTCTAGCCTTGACCCTTGGTGGTACGGTCTCTATATGTCTTAATTCACCAATCGTTTAGACCACCGCAACGTACTTAATAATCCCCGCAATATTAACTCCCTTTTATAAAGTTACAAGAATTCGGTATAAATGGTCTTTTAATCCTAACTAAAAAGTGTGAAATAAACTTCAATAAAAACTGAGAAGAAGAAACATTTTCATTTTTAAGCGTTTAACTGCTAGATGTTTAAATCTAAAGAAAATTTTACTAGAAAAAATCCTTCGCTATCCGGACGAATGCACGGACCATTATGGTACCGCGGCCCTGATAGCCGCCTCGAATTTTCTCTAGCCTTAGACTGCAAAGCAGCGCCATCTCTTCGCATTGTAGGTAATGAATACCTTTACAAGTATTAAACATCTGAAAGAAAAAATAGCAATTAAAAGTACTTAGTCATATTATTTTTTAAGCATTTGACTGCTAGTTGTTTAAATCTAAAGAAAATTTTACTAGAAAAAACTCCACGAGTATTCACTTATTAGGGATAGACTTATTGTAGGCTTGCTTGGGAACAATGTGAAAGTTCCCCTGGAAAATGGAGGCCTAAATACAAAGGCGTCTATTAGCAATGTAAGTAACGTAGATAATTCAAATTTTAGATAAAAATATATAGACCAGGGTCGATAATTTTTGAGACCAAAATAAATTATAGTAGGATAAAACCCATTGGAAAAGGTAGAGAATATAACAAAAATGAAAGGAAAAATAAATTACGGGCGATCTGAGGTCGGGAAGGGGGAGGGAATGAGTTTTTAAGGAGGAAAAACGGTTTATCTCGATTTCCGGTAAAACTGCAAGTCCTATTAAAAAAAGTTAAATGGCAAAGTTGTAGGTAATAAAAAGAACTACAACTTTTGTACCGACACTTTTTTCAAAAACAAAAATTCGAAAAACCGAGTTTTTGGTTTTTTATTTTTTGCAAAAAAAAAGATTTTCACGAAATTTAGTGAAAACTTGCCTTTGTATGTTCCAAACATACAGTATTTTTTTTTATGTAAAATATTCATTTTTTCATCTTATTTTGACTTAATATCGAAAAAACACCCTAATTTTTAATCGAAAGTTCTCACGTCAAAATATCTGTTTTTTTTTAAAAACGTAAGATTTCATGTTATATTGATAAACTTAGATTTTATCGTTGTTCTCCTTTTTTTTTGCTTGAACACTTTCTTAAGCGGGGAGAGGCTGGTGCACTGAGACACAGGCGTCAGCTTAGTTTGGTCACCAGTCTCTCACAATCTTAGACCTAAGTTTTTTAATCTGTTACTCATGAAGCATGTATAAGATTGTGGAGAGAAATAAAGTTTATTATTATTATTATTATTATTGATAAACAAAAAAATTGCTAATCGAGATATACTACTATAATTAACAACCAAATAAGTTCATAAAGTTAATATATAATAAGACATCTACAATATGGGGGGTCATGAACGTATAAAAATAATATTTATTAGTTCGTTGAACATTTGTAAGTACAAAATATTTTCAGACTTTATTGGAGTAGAAAAGCTTTTGGTGATTAAGATTTTCAAGCCGGAACTGTAGCCTCGTAAAAAAAGTTGAATGTGGAGTTACAATATTCTTTAACATTGGGTAAGTGATGCTATGCCGTAAATTCTAAATATCAATTCATGGAAATAAATTCATAAGAAGTAAAGAGTTCTTTCTCATAAATGCGAAGCAAGATTGTCAAAAAAAAGAAAATCGCCTTGAATTCCTTTGTCATTCAGGTTCTCCTGCTGAAAAAAGATACGATGCTTTTATTTAAGTCTATGTCTATAGAAGCAATACTGCTGAATATATGCATTTTTTTGTTCAGTTACTTCCACTTTACACATACTCCTTGACGATCAAAATGTGTTCAGTGTCGGTATATATCAGAAAACTAAACGTCGTCAGTTGAAGACACAATTATATCTTATAATCAATGCAACCAGCAAAGATGTTTTTTCATCAATGCCCATCGCAATAGGCAATCATGAAACTGACTGAAAACAAGCAACGAGTTGTACCAGCGGAGGTAGCGGCCGGTGACAGAGTCGATCGCCGCTAGAGGACACACGAACTACGGTTTCCTGTGAGAGTTTGCAGTGTCGGTAACAATAAGGGCAAATAACAAAATACCACCTTGTGAAGTAGTCTCACAATAACTGAGCCCTTAATGTAGGGCCGAACATATAAGGCCGCTTAATAAAAATTCAACACATGGCTATGACTTTTGGTCACATCCAAATCGCCAGTTTTTGAAATAGAAGCTTCTGGAGGGGTACCGTTTCTGATGACGGAAAAAATATTAATCTGCGGGTTTGCATGGTGTGGGGGTCGCCGCCGTACGAAAGGGTAGAATATTGGAAAAAAATCGAGCGCATCAGACATTAAGAAGGAATGTTACGTGAACCGTCCAGGAGCTCCTATTGTCAAAAGACTGACAATTAGGAATTTTGGACGCAACCAAAAGTCATGGCCGTTAATTGATTCTTTTTGCTGCCCTAGACGTTTGACCCGATATAAAGGGCTCAAGTATGGTGCGAGTATTTCATAAGGTACAAGGTTACCCTCCTTATGCTATTCTGCCGCGCTTGAGAAAATCCAAAAATCCTCGCTTGGGCTACTATAAATTAAATTGACTCCTCAAAGTGGGGCCGCAACTTTTATACTAAATTAAAGTATCATTTAATACACGAAGAAGTTTTAATTTAATATAAAAGAAATCACGTGCCTACGAAGCATAAAATTATTTTTAATAAGTAATAACAGTAATTGATGAAACCATTCTACATTAACTACATACAACATAAATATAAAATAGTGCCGATTTCGGCCCGGTTCTCTTAACTTAAAATTAAATTTGAGATCACTATTCTTGTCATTCTGTACACAGAATGAAAAGTGAAGACCAATTTTAGTTTTAAGTTTGGATAATCGTGCCCGAATCGATACAAATTTCAATAAAACAGGAATAAATACAACTCCAAGAAATTCAATCTTTGCGAAGGCATAAACCCTTACTAAGATTATCAAAATAATCATTGTTACACAAAACATTTAAAGACTTAAGATAATGACAGTAACGATTATTCCTTTTAAGATTAGTATCCGTTTTAGTTTTTTCTATACGACATATAGTACGACAACTTGACCAATAATCAAGTCCGAGTCCTCTTCGATCCAACGCAGCAGATGAGTTCAAAAAGTTTGTCAACTTATTATGTCGGGAAATTGTCTTGTTCCTATCTCTGAAACAAATAGAACATTACTTATTAGTTTATAAGAATTTTTAAGCAAAAGAAAAAGCTTAGCTGTTGCGCGGATGTTAGGCATATAGGTACGATAACACACTGGCAAGTAAAAATCAACATCCAACATCAATGTCACTTCTTTGTTTAAACGGGACCCAACAAGCTTCGCGTGGATGCAGTATACTAATAAGAAGTGTAGATTTGAATACAAAACGCCAACCCTATTTCTGTACATTTTTGGTTTCTGCTTATTTTTTGTAGTCTTATCTTAGATTAAAACAAATAGGGAAGATACGGTACTCGCGGCTCAAGTGATCCGCTTAAATTGTGGTGCATGACCACAATTCGCTTTAGTCACAATTGGACATTCTAACATTGCATGTGCACTCAATATAGCAATATTGCGTATATTCTGTGTTATAAAGATAAAACAATACCTTCGATGCAAAAGCATTATAAAAATAAAGAATACAACTAGTTCAAGCTCAAATAAGAAATGCCATGGCTACACTTTTCATTCGTAAAACTACGTACGAAGTCCGCTGGGTCAGCTAGTATACCTATATTTTTTAATATAATGCTTACCTCTGAACATTCATGCCTGGAATTTGTAAATTATTATCATGGTCAATGGCTAATGTTTTCTGAAAATGCACTATGGATCCTGCTACTATAGCATGTGAAATTTCATCCACTAGTATTTCACATTTATTGTAATCATCTAATGCCTCCTGTTCTGAAACACTATCTTGTTCTCTGTTAAGCCATGGTGGATCTGAAATATCATTATCAAAATGTCTCCTTCGAAAATAATCTGATACAGAAATTGCATCAAGTGCACTTGATATTGCCAGCATTTCCAAAGACTTTTTACTTTGTTTGAAATGTTTTTGTTCTGTTATTTCTTTTACTTGGACATCATCTAAAGGTACATTTAAAAACCGTGGCAGATTCCACCACATGTTGAATAGTTTAATAGGAAATTCAAAATGGAGTAAATTTTTTTTTTCGTAGGATAAATACCAAGTTAGGCTGTCAATGTTTTCAGAATTTGCACTCAAAATATCATTATTTTCTTCTTTAACTTCTCTATCAGACCAAGACATGCCTGAATTTTCATCATCTACATTCAACTTTAAGTCATTGCATCGAGCTTGAGTTTTTTCATTTGTCAAAGCAACTTTTGTGAAGTAAAACTGCAGATAATTTATAGTTTTTCTTATATCCCCATGAAAATAGTTCAGCAAGTGTGCTCCCATTCCAGGACTACAAATATTATTTTCTACTAAACACAGAATATCTAACCAAGTTCCTAACATTCTAGGTTGCAAAGGGTAAGTGTTAATAATTTTTGCTGTTTGTATAAACCTTTGTAAATGTGAACATGTAGTTGATGTCGTAATTAAGATAACAGGACGCTTAGAACAGTGAACTAATTGAACAATTGCAGAACAAAATCCATCGTCCTGCTCAAACACTATATCAGCATCATCAATGAGAATAAGAGACATGCAAGTTCGAGTACTATCTTGACTCAGTGGTTGACTTGACACTTCATTTTTACAAACACTTTCAATCTTTTTTGATAATTTCTCTAGAGACTTTTTCGGTCTGCCACGCTTTTTAGTCTTTGCCGAGATTTCTACTTGAATTGCCTCTTGTGATTTTTGAGAATATTCTTGACTGCTACCCTTTCCTCTATTAACTTTATGAGACTGTGTAGCTTCCTGTAAGTCTTGTAACATGATTTTTCCAGTCCTTTTGCTACTGGCGTTTACTTCTAGTACTTTTATAGCTAATTCCATAGCTACGGCATACACAATCGATGTTTTACCACTCCCCACTGGGCCATTCAATATAAGAAGATTGTTGGTTACTTTCACACTATCTTTACTGTCAGTATCTGAATAATAGAAATCAGATGAGTCAGAATCAATACTATTGTGTTTTTTACTTTTAACATCATTTTCAGTCCATGAAACCAACCATTTTTTTAACTCTTTGGTAGTTTCGAAATTACCTATTATTTCTTTTGACATCATAGGCTTGTATTTGTCAGTCCAATTTAGTCGATCGGGACTATCAATGCCCACATCAATCACTCCATTTATTATTTCCACACTATTATCAAGATCAAGAAAACTGTTGTCTCTGTACTCTCCCCTATTTTTATCCTTTAGCAATCTATATGTACGATAAACTGGAAATTTAGGATATTCCTTTTTTATGTTAAGTAAAACTTTTTGTATTTCGTTTTCAGTTGATATCTCATTGAAATTTCTTATTTTATTATGCTGATTTTCATAACTCAACAAGTTTTTAAATAAATCTTTAGCATCCCATAAACACTCAAAATCATCATCAGAACTAATTATGTTATAATCTATTGCATTTGCTTTTAGCAAAGAAGTTTCAATTTGCTGTATATGAACAACAGTGTCAAAAATGGTGGATCCAAATTTTATATTATTTTGCTTTTCAATTACCTTCTTTAATTTATCTGGAACACCACTACTTAGAAACCTTTGCTTAGCTTCGAGAGCTGCTACATCCAATTGTAGTTTTGTATTGAAAATAGGGGCTAATTTAGTTGGCTTCTTTTGCTGATCACCAGACTTTATTTTGAATTTAGATTTAGTTTCTTCTCTGGCTTCCTTTTTTACTTTCAAAGGCAACTTTGGTTTGAGTTTATCATAACTTTGCTTGCCGGATTCAACTTTAGATTTAGTTACTTCCCTGGTTTCTCTTTTGATTTCCGAAGCTAAATTTTGTTTGATTTCATCATTACCTTCGTAATCATAATCGATTTTAGGCTCTGACCGTTTCTTCTTCTTTGGAGTAAAGATGTGAAGTTCTTCATCAGAACTAGAAATTAAAACTTCATCAGTATATTTAGCTGGTCTTTTTATATTTCGTCGAGGCCTCTCTACCTCTACTTCAGGATTTACAATATGCTTATTGACATTCTTTTCTTTTATAATTGTAGTGTTGTTTTCATCAGGAAATACTGTCACTGTACAAGCATCTTTCATGTTAACTGAATCATTAGGATCAATTAATTTCACATCATCACATGATTCTTTATTTAAACTTAACTTCTTTTTCTTTATTTTCTTCTTAGATTTTGAATTTAATTTAACTTTGATTATAACATTATCACTTTGATGATCTTCATTAGCAGAACTATCGTCTTTCTCAATTTTCTTGAAATAGGACAACATATTTTCCTTTTTTTTTAATGATGGAGATAATTTTTTTAAAAACTCTGTTTCTTCTTCAGAAACATATTTTGTAGCAGGTTTTTCTATTACAGAATCTTGAAATAAGTCAACTAGACTCAACTTACGTTTATGAGATACTTGGTCTTCATCAATCTTGGGAGAAAGTTTCATTAATTCTGTTTCTATAATTTTTTTTTTCTTTATTTTAGATGTAGGTTTTGATTCATATCGTAGAATCAAACTCTTTAACCTTTCAGCTCTCTTTTCCATCTGATCCTTGATAATTTTTTCTTGGATTTCTTCAACTTCCTTATTTTTTAGTGATCCTTTAGCTTCTGCCATTTTTTGTAAAAGCAAAGTTCTTTTGACCTTTACATTCCTTTTCTCAATAGAATCTTGATCTTCAACTTCTGTAAGAACTTTATCTTTCCCAGGGGAATTACTACCAATGCTCTTGTTTCGAGATTCCATCAGTAACTTAAATGCATTTGTCTCTTTTTTCTTATTTTCCTTAGATGATATAAAATCATAGTCATTCATTACATTGGTTACTAATTTACTTCTATTTTTAATCTTTTCCATTTTCTCTACATGTTGGTTTGAAGTAGAAGCACTTAGCATGGCTTCATTTATTTTATTATTATTAGCAATGGGAATGTCGGACTCAGACTTAGTAAGAATCTGCTTTCGCCTACCCATTTTAAATAGGTAATTTTTAGGTCTCAATTCATTTTGTAAAACATAGTCCACTTGACCAGACTCTTCTTTATTATTTGGTGACTTGATCCTAAGAGATGAAACCAATATTTTTGATACATCTAAAACTTCTTGATCTTCGTGGCCATCTGGACGTAGTCTGTATTTTTTCAACTTTCTTTTGAGCTCTTTACGGTATTTGTGTTGAATTATGTTCTCCTTAGATTTTAAAATGTGTTTTATCTTGTTATTATTAAATGTTTTAGAGGATTGGCTATTATTTATTTCCAGATGATTAACTGAATATAATAAAGTGGACATCACCTGAAAATAAGTGGTAAATAATTAAAAAAAAACCCAATCACATAGTCAAATTTCATAATAAGGAAAACTTGCAAGAAAACCATTATAGAAATATTTAATACATATTGTTACAGCAAATATTATTAATTTTGAAGGAGTATAGTTTTTGAGTAAAACTATCTAATTACAGGAGATAACTGATTTATTATGTAAATATGTAATAGGTTATACAAACCAGTTGTAATCCATGTACAGCAAACTCCAGCAACCTCACAAGTAATACAAAATCATAACTAACAAGTTGTCCCTAAGCAATTATTAAATTAATTAAGATTAATACACAACAACAGAAGAAATATGATACCTTCAATAAAAATTGGCGGCATTTCAGAACAATCAAAACCGAAACATCAACAAGCAGTTTTTTTTTTAATTTATTCATGACCTGGATACAACAAAGTCCTTCAATCAACAAGCAGCGCAAAATGCGCAAATGTCAATTTTGATGTTTGTGTTTTTTTAACGTTCTCCCTTTGTAGAGAAGGCAAAGGGAACAATGCCCATACAACCTAGTCTTCAGTTTTCTTTGTTCTTTTTTTTTATATTAGAATGTGGGTGTTACGCTTCCTAATGTTTGTTTTAGTATTTGGCACGAAATATATTAAGTCAACTTTCTCGATAAGCTTCTGTGAGATAGTCAACACTACAATAAAGTTCTCACGTCCACTTGACCAGAATCAGCGACGTCTTTGACCTATTGGAGGCCCTGGGCATATTCGGATAATGGGGCCCCCCGTGTGGTGACCTAACAGGAACTAGGGACTTTGTATTTGATTTGAAGTGGGCCGCTATTGATCGCTGGACCCTAAAAGTGCCCACTGGGAAAGAGGGATCTGACCAGAAATAGCGTTTTTTTTTTAAAGATTCCAATAATTTTTCAGTTGCGCAGACGGTTGCAACACAAAATCCAACCTATTTTATTTCAAAATATCCACTATGAACGAATTAAAGAATAATTAAAAGACGCCAACCGTACTCGATGAAATCCCGTCAAAAACTCCGTTCGTGCTTTTTTATGGTCTATTTGTCCCTTTTTGGACAGGCAAAGGGTTCTGAGGTTCATGTTTTTTTTTTAAGTTTTTCTGCTCTATTGGATAAATTAATCCGTGTTTTATCAACTTGGATTCGAACATAATCATTATTAATTTACGTCAATTTACCGAAGATTAGGCGAGATTCTTTGTCAACAACGTATTAATACCACTGCACGCCTCGTAGGCAGTCACGCCCATCAGGAATATATAATTGGAAAAAATAAAGGCAGTACGAAGATGCTTTTCTTTATCGGTCAAACGTGTAGAAAAATTAAAAATAGTGGAAGCAGAATTTTTTTTTTAGAGCGGCCACACCACGAAATCCCTGCTGCAGGCAGTGTTCTTTTTTTGAGCTCAACTTACAAAAATTACGCTATGGCTTCTAAAGCTTTTTCGAACCCTTTTATTCGTCACGTAGCGGTAAATATTGAATTATGTTTTCAAATATTTTTTTTATTCTCGTCAATAACCCAAACGAAATGATAAATCTCCAAGCTGTCAAACTGTTATGTAAAGGGTTCCAAAGTTGATTGTTTTCTGAGAGATGTTTTTTATGGATTTAGAAAAGGGGATACGCTCAAGCCGCCCCAGCAGTGAAGAAGGATGTCCGGATACAGTCTGCTGTCCTGCCCAATAAAACATTTGTGGCTGCATTAGACAATGACTCCCCCGTTACTCGTGTAACCATTGCTTTCAAGTAAGTTTTCAATTATTTAACTGTTATTGATATTCTTTATGCTCAATTTTATTATATCATAAATTTATTACAGTAATAGTATCACCTATAAATCCATAAGCTAAGTTAACAAATCTTTCTTTTTTAAAATTAAGAATTTATTGAAATATTATTTTTGAAAGGGCGGGATCCCGGTATGAACCACAAACTGACTTAGGTGTGGCTCATGTGCTCCGATCTGCTGCTGGTCTCTCCACCAAAAATGCCAGCAGCTTCATCATTGCTCGACAACTTTCTCAAATTGGGGCCTCTGTCACGGCCTCTGGAGACCGTGAGTTTGTCTATTACACTCTTGAGGTTAGTTTTATTTTAAAATTACACTAATTATCATAAATATGCAATGGTAATGACCACAGAACACAGAAAGAGTTTAGAAGGGTGATAAGCGATCGCCAGTATGAGAACCGATGTCACCGGCTCGTCCCCACTACACTTCCACCTAACAGATAATAAGCCAATCAAACGACGCGACGTCAAGCAACCGAACGAATCAGTGCTCACACGGTGTGAACGAATGAACGCTCACAGTCACAGCCGTGACTGTGAGCGTTCATTCGTTCACACCGATTTTAGCGCTATGGTTGATACTGAGTTGATGAAATATTATTGATATTAAATATGCCAAGTGTGAGTTGGACTTGACTTGATTGTATGGATTTTTTTGTATCCTGTCAAAGTCAGTAAAGATAAAGAAAATGATTAACGCATTACTACAGATAGTTATTAATTGACCTTGAAACAATATATATTTATGAAAAAGGTGACGCTTTGTTTCTTTTTTAAAGTTATTTTTCAAAAGAAATGTATATATATATAGATGTATATCTATATATTTTTCAATTACCACTTTAATTGAATTTGTTATGTGGTTAGATAATGGGAATTTACTGACTTGATGAAATTATATGTCATCAAATAATGAAGTGCCAATAAACTTTTTTTATATTTTTGGTACTAAAATTTCTTTTTTGACATTTTTCAAATTATCTGCATGTTGTCGCATTACAGTTTCTGCACTTTTGCATATTTTTATAACATCACCACGGACAGATTTATCAGGCCATCTTTATCTTTAAACGAAATAAATTTATGTTAATTATTACTTGAATCTGATATTCGAGCTCTAGGGCAAATATAGCATTCGATTTTTTTAATTAAGACATGAACCACATTGCCTGCTATGTAGGCAATGACTTGTGTACTGAAATCAGTAAATTCTTCATCTTCATCCTCTTCGTTTTCACATGCTCTTTCTACTGACTGTGTGGACAAGTTAATTCTCTCTATAGTCCAGTCAAAATAGACAAAAATAAGTCATAACTTAGGGATAATTCGCATTTTCACACAACTTTTGTCTTACCTATTTTCACGATAAAACTTACCGTTTTCGAGAAAAATGGAAAAAACCATAATTTTGTACGTTTGAGTTGAATAGTTTTTTGCAGAAGTAGGATCGAAGGGTATTTTTGACATTTCATTTATTATGATGTATTTAACGTCTCTCCCAATTTTCAGCTCTATGCGAATTATTCCTTAGTGAAATGTCTATTTTAACTGGACTATAAACAAACTCTTCAGCTTTATATTTATATTTTCCCACAGTAAAACGTAGTCTTTGTGTTAATCCAGGGTGTCAGCTAACTTCATACCAAATTTTATTAAAATCGCTCCAGCCGTTTAGACGTGAAGAAGTAACATACACACTCAAAAACTTTCGCCTTTATAATATTAGTATGATAAACATTTACAATCAGCTTTTATTTATTTCTAAAAGTTACTTTAATTCCACTATTAGGTGCTAAAATTCAGTCGATAAAATCTATCGAAAATGTAAAATGTACAACGCAAAACACCACTAAAGTAGGTGCAATGACCTTATACTGCGTGCGGCCAAGTGCTGCGCACTGTGATCCACGCGTCATTGTTGCTCGATCGTACTACATTACGTGTTTTGAATGTCGTAGAAAGAATAGAGAGCGTACTTTGTCAGCAATGAATATTTTTGTGGAAATATATGTGATTTATCATTTAATTAATATTTCTCGAATTTTTACTAAAATATCAGTCTAACTAAGAAGTTTTATACTTACCAATGAAAAGAAATTCCTGCTTTAGGTAGATTTGATAATTGACTCTTTACTTTGCAAGTAATTACGGCACACGAAGGCATATTTTAAGCGGTAGTCACAATACTCTCTCACTGAGCGTTCGCGGGCAACTAAACAACGCGATCGGTTGTTACGGTCAAGTTATGAGCATTTGCTCATAACTGTGACGCGCCTACCCCGCCCACAAGGCCATTCTAACTTCTTTCTGTGTTCTGTGGTAATGACATAGTATTTTGATAAAAGAAGACAAAACTATCTTCCATATAAAGCTACATTTCATATGATGACACAGCACTGGGTCTTTTAGATCTCTAATTTAATTCAAAATCGTCATTCAATTCAGGCGTCAATAGATTTTGTTGCAGAAGTTATTTTTGTATTGATTTTTTTCTCACAACGTAAACTTCTAAGTGGCCTAAGCCACTTAATCAGAATATGAATAATTCAGGGTAAGGCCACTTTTGCGCTGACCTCTCTCATATATAAATGAAAGATTTTTTCTATTTTTAGACATTACTATTATATTTTTATCTGAGAGTCGGAGACCACTTTTGTTAAATGGTTTAATTATTGTAATTTTTGACTGCTATTACTAATGTTATAATTAAATATAATGCAATTTTAAATTTATTCATATATTTTTGTTATAAAGCTAGAAATAAAAGGCTTTTTTACATTTTTATTTATTTTAGATACTTATCTATAATATTTTCAAACAAAAAACCCAGCCAAAATGTTGCCTGACTCGTATTATTAAAGTCCTCGCCTACAGCTCGGACTTCAAACTCTACTCGTCCTTTTTCTCGTCTCGTCCTAAATTTTGGGGGGTCCTACATTTTATCCAGTGCAACCCTGATCTATATCAAATGCTACTTCTCGATAACTCTAAAGATATTGTGAATGTACCCAGGCAACTCAAGACAATTTCCAAGCAGCAGTGGAAATGTTGAACAAAATTGTTTCCAACCAGGAGTTCAGACCTTGGGAAATGAGTGACAATGCTCCCCGTCTCAAATATGATCTAGCTGCATTGCCACCACAGGTATTTTTAAGATATTTCACTAAATGTTATACTAACATTATAATTTTATAAAGCAAGCACTAAAATTATTATGTTACTGCTGTCTATAAATTATAAATGTTTGGTATAATAATAATTGTTATTCCTAAAAGTCAGTCTTAGATAATAAGAAAAATTACAGTATGTAAGTGAATTAATTTATGCTTTAGCTGACTTCTTTTTTGCTATTAGATACTGATCTGGCAAAATTAATTGATAATTTTATAGAAGAAAACTAATAAATTATGATATAAACAACAACATGTAAATATTGCTATAATTAGTAGACATTTAAACCTGACAATTAATAACTATTTGTAGGTGCGTGCTGTTGATCTGTTACACAGAGCAGCCTACCGACGTGGTCTAGGCAACTCGCTCTATATTTCACCGAAGAGAATTGGAAAAGTTTCCTCTGAGTCAATGCAGCATTATGCTACTAGCAATTTGACTCCTAGCCGTTGTGCTATTACTATCATTGGAGACAGTCAAGTAAGCATTACTAATACTAAATTAATAGATATGTTGTAATATGCTAAATATAATCAACCATATCTTCATAAAATTACAATAATATTCATGTAAAGTAAGCCACAAATCAAGTTACCACAAAGTGTAAAATTTTCTTAACAGCTTATGAATCTTAAATCAAGCTTCATAGAGCTCAAAATCTGTTAAAGAAATTTTAAGGTTTTTTGGGGTACCTTGACTTGAGTCTATCCCTCTCATCTGTACACGAAATTATGTTTTTCTATTCTACAACTGTTGTTTAAATGTTTGCTTAAAACATCAAAATTTTATTTAACTAATTAATACTCCAACGGCTGCGCTCAAATAATTCAAAATATCTTTTAAGTTTGGTTAAAGTTATTGCTACCATTTTCTTTGTGCTGTCATTAGAATAAAACAACACATTACTTCAAATTTATTTGATGTTTTTTGTAAGACTGTGTAACTTGAAAATACTGATGAAAATGTATACTTTCTTATTATTCATTAGGAAAAGGCTGGCTTAGTTGCAAATGCTCTCCAGTTGGGTTCGTCTGGTGACGCTCAAGATGAACCTTCCAAATACTTTGGTGGTGAACTTAGGTAAATAAACTTTATTTACATACAACTAGTAGGAACATTTGTTAATTTCATAAGAAAAATCCAGCCTAATCTACATATTACAAATAGTGGCATGACCTTTTTTCAACTTGATTAATCAGAATAGAATGGTTTGAATAATCAAGTATTTTTAACTATTTAGGTAGGCCATAGCGGATTTCCTGGTCGAATTGGAACACCTGTCTTTGGAAGTAAACTCCACCTTACAGAAGTAAACAGTAAATAACACTAATCTTTGGTGGTGTTGTGTTTCTATATCATTATTTTTGAGTGTCAGTGTCAGCTAGAGGATTGGGTCAGGTTGACGTAGTCATTGATGCGAATATTTATATATTTTATATTTTTGTCATCGAAAGCTTCTATAGCCTATGGTGGCAGTTCACCATCAGGCGGGCCAGATGCTTGTTTGCCACTATTTAACTTAAAAAAATATGATTACTACATAATTCGAAAACCTAAATAAACACTTGTTTTTTTCTTTAGCCAGGTAGGCAAATAACTCTACCCCACCTGATGCTAAGTGGTGATAGAGTCTAAACACGAAGATAGCTGGTACAGCAGTTATAAACTGCCACACCAACCATTGTCACCTTGCCGGCCTACAAAAATGCTTCTTCACACCTCTCTTACAGGACCTCTCTTTATTTACAATCAAAATTTTAGATGTAACATTTTAATCCCATTCTGTTATCCTAACTGATAATATAAATACGAAAGTGAGTTTGTTCGTTTGTTAGGCTTTCACGTCTAAACCACTGAACAGATTTGGATTAAATTTAGTATACATACAGTTAATGACCTGTATTGAGACATAGGATACTTTTTAACATGCTTTGACTGACTTGCTTGTACTCGATTTTGCCCAACTTTAAGCGATCAGATTTACTTTAAACTTGGCAAATATATGTAGATTAGATGACAATACAATATTATGGTACCACCTAGCTGGTCTGATGATGGAACTGGAAGGTGGGGTATTAAATTTTACCTGAATTGTTGAACATTATGCATCACGTAATATATTAATTGATTTGATAAATATAACAATGAAAAGCGCCCCATGATATTTCAGTTATATATGTATATATATATATCTTAAAATCAACTATAAACATGGCTTACTCTAAAGCCCTAATGAAGTAAACAGAGTATATTTTGTTTATTTTTGACTTTTTAGTGCAGCAAGTAAAAACGTGTTTTTAGTTTTTTAAACTTTTAATTTTTATCCGGAAAGTCGTAACACAGTGATATAATGGTAACAGAAAGGAGATGGGCGGAGACTTAGCGCACGTAGCTCTGGCGGTGCAGGGCGCTCCCGCCGGCTCGCCACAGGCACTCGCTTTGGCTGTCGCTGCTAAAGGTAAAAAACTTGTATAGACTTCAGAAGCCCAAAGGGCCGTTCAAGTATTATAATGCGATTGAACTAAGAATAGGACCTACTGGGCGCCATATTGTGACGTCATAGCTGTCGATTCAAACCAAATAGGTAGAGTGGGCAAAAAAAAATATTTAATAAAACTTATTTAATAAGATTAAGTGAGAAAGAACATAAGATTTTTTGAATAAAATTTATTTACTAAGATTGAGATAAGAAAGCAACGGATTTTTCATAATATTTATTTATTAAGACTGTGTGAATAAAAACGTTTATCAGAATCTAGCTCTTCAATTCCGCTCATCTCTGCATTACCGCCAGAGTAGTTATGAATAATCATGCACTACTACTAGGTTTCATACATACACGCATCCTTTAAGTAAACGAAAGTTTTAAATCGAGTTTCTGAACGCAACTTAAATTGACATTTGGTTGACGATCAAGGTTATCAATCATTCATAGCCAAGCTCAATAAATGAAAAAACAAAATATCAACCAATATTAATTATCAATATTTGTTATTGTTTGTTTACAAATTTTTGGTTTTTATTTTGCAATTAGCCGAGTGCTAAAAAAGGGTTCCAAGATTTTTTTGCAAACCGTACTTTTCAAGCAACATTTGACAGATGGAGGTCATTGGCTTTCCTATTCTTATTTGAATCCAGTATACGTAAGCACTATAGAGAGGCAGGGGGGTCTTTGCTTTGCTTATTTTTGATGACATGGGGGGGGGGTGGGGGATCGAGATAGTGATTACGTCAGTATCATGAATTCGGGTGCCATGGACTGAAGACGGTTAATATGAATTAATATGTATACCAAAAATTCGAAAGAAGTTTTTTTGGTTAGTACTTAATTAGATTATAACATTTGTACTTTAATCTTTGTTGAATACTGTGTCAATAAAGTTTGTTTAAATGAATATCATGTGCGTTAAAATCCTCTATCCTAAGGCTATTCAAGTTCTGGTGATCATGAAAGCTCATGAATCAATAAAAAAAAACAGAATTCATTAAAGGAAAAATGCATATCGGTACCAATGTTTACCAAATGAGGGGGGGGGGGGATAAGAGCTTCGCTTACTTTTGCTGACCAGAGGGAGAGGGGGTAAATTATTGTAATAAATGTGCTGAAATAGATCTATTGTCCTTAGGAGCACTGCTTAGTTTTTCATGCAAAAGCTGTAAATACCGAAGTATTTACATCGCAGAGGCGACGGATTTTTGGTCACGTGATCATAGATTAATCTGAGCAAATTGCTATTACCAAACGGCTCGACCAACCGTAGAATAATTTCCAACGTCAAACAGAAACAAACCTCACAACATGACAGATAACAGATTAATCTATCTCGTCGGTCAAAATACTCCGCGCAAACAGATTTACATCTGACTAATCTGAGAGAAATTACCAAACGCTCCAGATTTACTGTAGATGTAATAAACGAACGATTCAGACTAAAATGATAGATCGCAAACACCGAACGCAGCTTTTGAATTTGCGATACGTTAAGGTCAATCGGGGCAAGTGCACCTACGGGGTAAATGTACCTACCACAAAAATATAGAAAACTACAAATATTATACAACTAACGACATCTTGCATACACGCAACAAACTAAACTACACTTCTGCTTCTAAAACACAGATGGCTCTGTTCACCATAAATGAAATATTCGCCATTTTAGTTTTAGTGTCATTTATATCGGCTGCCTAAGATGACCTCGTGTAGTTATCAGTTTCAATCTGGAAATTTTTGACTTGTTCCGGTAAACCAATGCAGTGAGTAATGAATTTAAATATTTTTCTTTAATTCTATGTCTGTATTTTACTCCTAAACATAGATATTAATGATTTTTATTAAATTAAAAATCATAACCTCAAAATAGTTAAGTGGAGGCAAGTGCGCCTTAGATGAGAGAAGTATGGCGCGCTTGCCCCCACCCAGAGGTCGCCAACCTTTATGATTCTGGTGATGTTTTTAACCCACTTAGTAAGGAGCAAGTTCCCAAGTAACTGTTTTATATGTCTGATAACTGTATTTTTGGCTCATTTCAAAAGAAGCCCGTTGATTGAAACCCACTTTTAAACGGATTACTAACGCGTCTATATCTGTTTTGGCATTTAATCCTGAAGGTTCGTAACCACGTTCCTGCAAAGGGATCGAAACGTCAGGATTAAATGTTAAAACAAATATAAAAGTGGTTTTATTTCAATGAATAGTAAATGCGGAAGTCTAAGATTTCATTAAGTTCTTTGATTTTTTTAGGTTGTTTCAACGCAGCTATTAAAACGAAGTACTTGGAGTCATTCCCTTTACTCTATGGGTGCCCACATTTCATACTTACCTTAATATTAGTCCAAAAATGATTTTGTGCATTGTTTTTCAGATGGTTCGTACATACCAAAGAAAAACCGATGGCCTTTCTTGGTCTAAAGAAACTTTATATCAAGCAGTTGATGTTTACGTTCTAGCCAAAGAAAAATTGTTACCTATATTTGTATTACTTAAGTAAATTAAAAAAATATATATACTAAAAAAATTACTTAATTATTCATAATATATGTTTATCCTGCCAAACAGTTTTAATGCATTTATAATGTAAAAAGTAACATTAAAGGTTTAGATCCCCTGATTACTAATCTATGGCGCACTTGCCCCACATTTACTAAGAAAGCTGTGGTTGCTCTATAAGATTAGATTATTATCTAATCTACAGAAAAAAAGCAATGTGTTTAGTTGTAAATTTTCCATAAAGCAAAATTATTATTTATCTTATTGCGTACGATTTTAGCGCTTTTTTTTTAAATAGGCGCACTTGCCCCGTTTTGAGAGGCAAGTGCGCCTATGGACATGTTTTTAAATTTCTTACAAAATATCGTAAAATTTATGGTAGATTTGACTGCATCAATAGTCATTGCAGTTACAAAATACCAAATATTGTTAATGTTATATATAAACACTCATAAGTCAATATTTAAATAAATTATTTTGCATCGAAATCATCTATGCAAAAAATATGGCGCAATTTCCCCGACTGACCTTACGGAGCTGTCAAAAATAAGTCTTGGGCCGCAGCAGTGCTATCGTGTAAGAACAAACTCTTTTCACCGCGGTATTCGCCGATGTGATTCGAAATTAATTTAAAACTCTTTTTATCCTAATTTAAAATCCCACGACGCACTGCATAGCTGAAATAAAGATCAAAATAGATAACGTAAATTAAGTTGAGGAGCTCGATGGCGCAGGTGGTTAGCGCGTTCGGCTGCGATCGTTGAAGTTAAGCAACTTTAGTAATGGTCGGTCATTGGATGGGTTACCAAAAATTTACTATCTCGAGCTCCTCCGTGCTTCGGAAGGCACGTTAAGCCGTTGGTTCCGGCTGCATCTGCAGTCGTTAGCCCACCAATCCGCACTGGGCCCGCGTGGTGGGTCATGGCCCAATCATCCTATTCCATCCATAGGGAAGGCTTGTGCCCCAGCAGTGGGGATATTAATAGGCTGATGATGATGAAATTAAGTACACAAGCAATGTCAAAAGGGAGAATAAAGTTGTTTCTCTGATGATAATTTTTAATTCGTTGACAGTACCGGAAAATCGCAATTTAAATACAATCTTAAATGTTGAAATTTTAAGTTGTAAAAACATTAATAGATAGAATTGAAACGCTCGGGCGGGGCGTATGCTATGATACGCTGTGTTTTCATATAATAGGGGATATAACTGAAAATTTCTCACGCGTGAACGCACTAACTAAAACAAACTTGAACAAGTGGTTCAATTAATTGACTTTAAAATTTTGAAATGTGCATTATTTATTACACAATAATACATCAGTAATACATCAATGCTGCGTATTTAGATGTAAAAACGAAGGCAATCATTCACTTCTATTAACCAAGAATGTTTGAAATTTACGGGAATCAGATTGCATTTTATCATTTATTGGAGTTGAGATTTCAGTATAACCGTTTTTTTTTTAAATATTGTCTTCTAATTCGCACCACTCTCTTTAAGCAGTTTCTGTAGTCTGTGGATCATACATTTTAAATGGGAGGGATAATTTATTATATTCTTAGTTACAATAAGTGCCCGTAGCATATACCTCTTTTTATAGGTCCCTAAGTTAATAAACAAGGAATAATTGAAACTGATAGGCATATTTTCACAAATCAACATATGGCAGCAATACGATATTGTGCACCACGGTGCTTTGTTTACTGTATGTACTAGTGGTGCCCTGTGCGCCGAGCATTGTGTTATATTCCCTATTGAACCACATGCGTCATCTATTTAAATTTATCATATTATATTATCACTTTGCAACTCAATTTGTGTCTATGTTGTATCCCAAATAGAAGCAATTTTTATTGTTCTACATAATTTACTTAGATTATCTTATACAATACAAATTGCTAAATCAGTTGATTAAATATTTGTTTAATCTGCTTTGTGTATGTTCAAATTAATATAAAATTAGGCAAGTTCTACTTTTTTTTATATGTAGTCCATCATTAAGAGCCTTTTTACATTTTTGCAAGAAATTGTATTTTTTGAGCGCCTACTTACTTAACCTCTGAAATGATTTTGACTATTTTTTATACAAGTACGAAGTAGATTTACCTTTCTTATTGTAAGTTAATATAGAATATTTGCAAATATTATTATCCATTTTGATCCATCTTAGTATCTCAAATTAAATTACCTTTTTTACACTTGTTGAATAACTTGTTAGATTCTGTGCGGAAAGAGAATGGGATTTAGATTTGAGGGCGCAGTAGTGTTTTTCTACAGTATTGGTAAGGTTTTATCCCTTTTAGAAATGATTAAATACAAAAACCCGCAAGAAATCACAACAACAAACGAATCCGTATAAATACAAAACTTCTACGTTTGACATGATGGCTGGGTTGGATTGCCATATAAAAATCTTAATGTTAGTTCCGTTTTTCACCACGCCGATTCTCTTTCCGCACAGACTCTATTTGTGTACTAAAGTATCAAATTGGTATGGCGCACTATACTGATCATCGTCGTGTCGATGTCTTGCTCGTGCGACTCGGGCAGGCTCTCGGCCGTATTTACCTAAACTGCAGCAGCGGAATTTTGTGAAAGGGCTCTAACTCTATCAAAGATAAGAGAAACTCAGGAACGTAAAAACATACATAAACCCTGGAAACAATATACCTTTTTACAGATATTATTTAAATGAAAAAGATATTTCATTAATTATTCAAATGTTTTTGACGACCTGCGTGGGCGTTACCGAGTGGTATGTACGCCGGGTTTTAAGGTGTCTACGTCACCTACTCAGGAGTTTCTAGTTCGAATCCCGTTGGGGCAAATGTCAGTATGATGAATACTAGCATTTTTGTATGTAGATGTATGTATTAGGAAATGATGAATTGGCTGTATGTTGAGATAAGTGTAGATTTTTGTCAAATAAATAAATTATTATTATTTATACCTGTCATTAATTTTTTAATGAGATTACCCTAGCATCCCATAACAAAAGCTTTACAGTGCGCATTACGTAACGCAATTTGGGGGGGGGGGGGGGGGGGTCTTGTAAAACGTTAAGATGCGTTGCAGGGGCGGGATTTAAATAAAAAAATAGGGTATTATAATCTCCCAAATTTTGGGAAACCTATTCGTTTATGGTTTGCCAAAGTTTAAAAATTACATTACCAAAGGAGATTGGGCATCTTAGTATGAAGCTTGGGGAAGAACTAAAGATTTTTGTACATCAATCAAATAAGCTTAAAAATATTGCTTATATTTATTATTATTTTAGGATTTTTTATTTTTTCAAAATCCGTACTCTCTGAGTTATTGGACTTTAAAGAAATATATCTACTTATCCTCTTTTTACGATCCCCGCTACTATGCAAAAACTTTAATCTTAATATTACCTACATACATACACATAATCACGCTCATAATCCTAGAAGGGGTTGAGCAGTGCTACAGGTAACATTTTGTTTACACATTTTATTATTTAGCATTACATCATTAAGCATCAATTTACACGGCAATAGCGAGAAATCGACTGACTGACAGATCTGAGTTCTGACAGTGATCACAGTGACACTGACAGACGCTGTTCACATTGACAGAACAACGGTGATTTTTCCGAAACATATTGCTGGAACCCCGAGTAGGTATACATTCTTTTATTTAGGGATTTTTTGTTTTAATCTTCTTTTGTAAATAATACGAATAATAGGTTCTGTTATTCTTTGTATATGTATTTTCGTATCTTGGACTAGTTTTAACAATGTTAATAACATTTATAGGTTAACATTGGAAACCTATGTTAACGTTTCGGAACGCGGGATCCGGATATCGCTTGGGGTGGCGAGACCACCGACGTCCCGTATAGCAACCGGCTACCAAGCACCGGGCGGGCTTATCACATAGGAAATCATTCCACATTTTAAAAATATCGCATATTTTTCTGAGAGTACGAAAATTGCTGAAATTTGGTATTCTGTCATCAATAATTAGATAACGATTTTTGGCAGTATTTTCATTAGTGTACAATCGAGAGATAAAAATCCCTTAAATGCCCAATCTCCTTTAAAGTAAACATGTTATTTTATTGAAAGAGATTAAAAAAAGCTAAAATAGGAAAAACCATGCGAATTACAATGGTGGATGAAACTGAGCAAATAAAACGAAAGCAAATGTTTATTAAAATAATAATAATAATTCGTTTTTTTTGACTAATAATTACTGTCGGTGTGTTTTAAAAATATTTATTTACATATTTGTATGTTATCTCACAGCATTAGGTAACGGTCCTATGACGAAGTGGGGTGCTGACAACTCGCCGCTATCCAAAGCCGTCGGCAACGTGGGTCCATTCGCGGCGGCTGGATTCAACGTCGCCTACTCCGACAACGGATTGTTTGGAGTTGTCCTGTCCGTGCCTAAAGACGAAGCTAGCGCTGTAAGTTTTGTTTCTATAGCTTTATGAACCTACTCCGACAACGGATTGTTTGGAGTTGTCCTGTCCGTGCCTAAAGACGAAGCTAGCGTCGTCTATGTTATTTGTGTATGTTTCTATAGCTTTATGGAATAGTCTTGTAAATGCCTATGCCTGTATCTCTTCATATTCTGCAATATTTTATAGCCGCCTTATTCAGCGACAGAAGTTAATTTATGGTTTATTAGGTGTTGTCTTGTCCGTACCTAAAGATGCAGAAAAATAGCTTTCTCTCTTGAATTTTAATCTAAATCTAAGATCAAAATTAGAAAGCTATTCAATTTATTTCTTAAATAATCATTTTAAAATATTGCTGATGTTTAGGAACGAAGTTCCTTATTGTACGGTACCGACTTGGCGGATAGGGGCTAGGTGAAAAACAACTATAAGGTATTTCCGTCACTACTAGGGTTACCATCCGTCCAGGGCCCCAATTCTCGCGGCGTAGATATTATATCACCTTCGATATATATCGAATGAACTGGCTTTTATCGAAGGAAAACCTTTTTGCCCTATCCTCACCATGTCGCAATAGATATTTATCTACGAATGATCAGTAGACGTTAGTGATGTAACGAATATTCGCATTCGTATTCGCGAATATCCGCATATTTTTCAATATTCGCATTCGCTAAAATTATGCTAATATTTAGCGAATGTTTTTAATAATCAAAAAGGAAATTATTATATGCATTGCATGTATATTAAATAATAATACAATAGATAACACTTAGACATTTTTATTAAAACATATTAGGTTAGTTCCAGAAGTTAAAATACAATGTTAATTTTCCACTTGATTTATTCAACTTGTACTTCACTTGTAATATAAACTAAAATTATTATAACAACAATATTTAGCAGCAACACCACGTTAAATTTTGGACCACTATTCACGACGAAGGCTCTCGACTGAATACCGTATTTTTGAGCGCTCCACTCGCTTGTCCGTCCCCCCTTCACGTCGTGTGATAAGATGGTGGGGAGGTAAGGTGATGTGGCGTGATTTAGCATAGACAAACTGAGATAAAAACCATAACTGTACTATTGACCGATCTGTAAAAAATGCTAATATTATAAAAATGCTAACAGCTCGGCCATCCTGCATCAAGCGAGACCCTTCGCGATTTGGTTTACAATAAAGACAGGTTTATTATTAAATGGTATATAATGAAAGTTAATCAAAAGCATTTTACAGTCTTATATAATTTCTCTAAAATATAATGATTCGAATCATAATTTATTTTCATATTGACATTTAAGAAATAGCAATAATAAAGCAACAAATTAGCTAAAATACCGTAAAATATAATTACATTCAAATAACCGTTCTAAATTATCTTATATTCTTTTTGATTTTATAACAATGGCATACATTTTAATAAAACTATATAAAAATAACTAACACAACTGTAGGTACAAAGCTTAAAGTATTGAAACAAAAAAAACACTAAAAGATACACATTTTTACATTAAAGAAGACTATCCAAAATATGTACTGGAGAAGAGAAGAGAGCTACAAGAACAAGCTCAACAGGAAAGAGAAAAGGGAAACACAGCTAAAATTATATATGATAAGCTGATAATATCAAAAAAAATAACACTAAAAAGGAAGCTGCCTATGTCACCCGAGAATTTCTCTGAAACCAAAGTAGAGAAAAATACGCAAATAAATAAAAAGAGCAAAACACAACAAACTATTGCATCGGTCAAGAGGTCTAGCAGCTTTTCTGAAGGAATCATTAAACAGGGAATACTAAATTACGTAGTCAAAAATACAATAAACAAGAACAATAATCAAAACAAACAAGCATAGCAATACAGCTTTCCTCCTCCGACACAGAACAAAAAAACACACACACAATTAAAAACAAGAAACAAACAAAATATTCTTCCAATCCGGCCGGTCACCGTGGAAGACTACGACCACAACCCAACAAAAATTGACGCCACAAAGACTGCAGAAACACAGAAAAACCACAATATATACACATACAACATACAATGTTAGGACATTATCGGCATACGAACGCTTATTAGAATTAGAAGAAGCCATTCAAAAAACACAAATACGACGTTGTAGGAATATTAGAAACAAGGCGGCTAGGTACCAACATAGAAGAGCATACAAACTTTATATTTTGTTATGTGGGTCACACGCCCGGCTTATATGGAGTAGGCTTCATAGTAAACAAAGTACATAAAAACAATATAAAGAGCTTTACTGCCATGACGGAACAAATCCCTGTGCTAAACATGAACATTCAAGGCTTCCTAATCTCTATTATACAGGTGTATGCACCGAATGAATCTGCAAGTGAGGAAGTAATCTTAGTATTCTACAAAACGATTGACAAAGCCCTGGACACTGCACACAATAATGTCATACTTATGACAGATCAATTCTTCTACTTCTTCAATACGAAGATCGGTCTTCCTAAGAAAGAAAAACATTTAGTAACAAAGTAATTCGGGAGCGGGACGAGGAACGAAGGAGGGCAGAGGCTAGTGTATTTTGCATTTGAGCAAAAACTAACTGTAATAAACACATGTTCTAAGAAGAAATTAAGCATTAGATGGACATGGAGATCTCCGGATGGAAAAACTAAAAATGAAATCGATTATATATTATCAAACCAACCGAGATTATTGCAAGATATTGGTACTATGAACTTAAACTATCCCTTAGAACATAGATTAATCAAATCAAAAGTAAAATTAAGTAAACTAAAGAAAAGTAGAGTTAATTACAGTATTAAGCATACAAACCAACTGAAATCTGAAGTAGAAATAGCTAACTACAGGGAAACCTTATAAGGAATGGTTTCGAGGCAATGTGATGTCCACGAAAACATCTCAGTACAAACTCATTACGATAACATCACAGATGCAATCACCACAAGTTTAAAATCAGCCCAATTAACGGGAAGGAACACAAACGACGTAAGATACTATCGGAACGTACAACATCTTTTTTACAAAGAAGAAAGAAACTTCAAATAAAACTAAAAACAAATCGAGATTATAAAAAATGAACTCTCTGCACTCTACAAATTAGTCAATAAATCTACAAGAAAGGACTATTCAATATATAGACAAAGTACATTGGAAAAGCATCTAAAGCTCACAGGCATCACAAAAAAAAGCCTACAAAGAACTTAAAACAAGTAAATCCTGGATAGAAGGACTAAAAGCTTTTGGCAAAGACCTAAACAATCGAAAAGACATCATTAACACAGCAACTAATTTCTACAAAAATCTATATAACAATAAAAATCATTTAAGTACACTAAAAAATAAAACTCTATAAACTCATGCATGTTTATAGAGTTTTATTTTTTAGTGTAGGCCACATCGTTCAGGTTAACGAAGTTAACTTAAAAACAATTAACTAAAATGAAATCATAGGAGCCATAAAAAGGCTCAAACTAGAAAAATCCCCAGGATTAGACAGCATAACAAACGAAGCTTTAAAGATAGCTTACCGTATACTGGCAAAACCGCTCGCTGAACTATTCAATCTGATATCACAAAGCTCTGAAACGCCTGCACAATGGTTCGAATCCAGCATTATTTTAATATATAAGAAGCGAGACCCAAAAGATATAGGCAACTATAGACCGATAAACCTACTACCAACTATGTATAAGCTATTCTCTCTGATTATAAACTCGAAAATCAGCCCCGTAATCGAAACCAGACAGCCTATAGAGCAGGCCGGTTTCTGAAAAGGTTTCGCTACGATAGACCATATACATACCTTAGAATTAATTATAGAGAAGTATCGGGAACAACAGAGACCACTCTATCTTGGATTCATTGATTTCAAAAGGCCTTCGACACGGTTACTCACGCTAACATTTGGCAAAGCTTGAAAGAACAGGGAGTAAGCGAAGTATGTATAAAAGTGATCCGGAACATATCGACAACACATCGAACAACAACACGGACAAAATAAAGCTAGACATACTGGGCCCGAGCTTTGCAATCAAGAGAGGTGTAAGACAGGGCGACCCCTTGTTGCCAAAAATATTTATAGCCGTACTCGAAAGCATCATCAACAAGCTTAACTGGAGCAAACGAGGAATCTACATACAAGGAACCTTGCTAATAATTAAACTTTTTTTTATACAAAAATAATATCCATAAATTACATTTTACAAAGTTTTAAATAAAACAAACAACAATAATTAGTCAACCTCATCAGAACTTTCTAAATTTTGACCTCGGCCACTACAACAGGGCACTCCTAGGTCGTCCGCATTGCTTAGACCTCGGCCCATACCAGGCACTCCTAGGTCGTCTGCATTGCGTAGACCTCGGCCCATACCTGGCACTCCTAAATCATCCGCATTGCGTAGACCTCGGCCCATACCAGGCACTCCTAGGTCTGTCCGCATTGCGTAGACCTCGGCCCATACCAGGCACTCCTAGGTCGTCCGCATTGCGTAGACCTCGGCCCATACCAGGCACTCCTAGGTCTGTCCGCATTGCGTAGACCTCGGCCCATACCAGGCACTCCTAGGTCGTCCGCATTGCGTAGACCTCGGCCCATACCAGGCACTCCTAGGTCATCCGCATTCCTTAGACCTCGGCCCATACCAGGCACTCGTAGGTCGTCCGCATTGCGTAGACCTCGGCCCATACCAGGCACTCCTAGGTCATCCGCATTGCGTAGACCTCGGCACATACCAGGCACTCCTAGGTCATCCGCATTCCTTAGACCTCGGCCCATACCAGGCACTCCTAGGCCTTCCGCATTGCGTAGACCTCGGCCCATACCAGGCACTCCTAGGTCGTCCGCATTGCGTAGACCTCGGCCCATACCTGGCACTCCTAGGTCGTCCGCATTGCGTTGACCTCGGCCCATACCAGGCACTCCTAGATCATCCGCATTGCGTAGACCTCGGCCCATACCAGGCACTACTAGGTCTGTCCGCATTGCGTAGACCTCGGCCCATACCAGGCACTCCTAGGTCATCCGCATTCCTTAGACCTCGGCCCATACCAGGCACTCCTAGGCCTTCCGCATTG